ACAGGGTCATTCTGGTCACTGAGCACAGACCCCTGGATGGTGGGGGGGAGGTTGCTGACTTCTTACTTAGCTGATCTCTTCTTCCGTTGACGCATTGTGCAAGTTCTTAATTTTGCAAAACCAAGGAATGACAAACCTGTGTTGGCTTGGATGACAAGAACCTCCTCTGCCATCAAGGCCTGTCCCCGGCTGGAGCGGGCGTCAACCGTATCATACAATACCTGTTAGGAGCAGGTTAAGCTCCATCCCTAGCAATGTGACCAGTCTTGCCCAAATCCCTTCTATCCCAAAAATATAACTCCGCCTCTTCTACCTGTTTCAAGAGCTTATTCTTCCATTACCACAGTATTTGAGTGCTTGTAAAATAAAATCTTTTGCAAAAATGAAGCTTCTGTTGATCTTCATGGGGTCACACAGAATTCTTACCTTTGAGATCTAGGCTCAGATGGTGGACATGGCTTTGAGAGGTTATTTTTTTTAATTTAGTCAATTAATCTATTGCTTTTTTATATTCTCATGTGCTATTCACATCCCAGCAATCCAATCATCTGCATTTTTTAATCTGACCCTGTGTTTTAAAGCAAAAACACTAAATACATATATACGTAAACAAAGGCAAAATGAAACTTGGAAGCAAAAGCCCCTTTCAAGGAGTTTAAAGGAAAAAAACAAGCAAACTCTTTCATTATACGAAATGGGGCTGGGATTTGAAGTATGCAAGCAATAAAAATTATTTTGTATTCCAAATGCTGGGGTTTAATCCTTTTTTTGTAGGAGGCTGGAAAAATACTAGTCATGTTGTTGATGTAGGAGCAAAAGAGCAATGCCAGGAAACACAAGCATCAATTCTGGTAACTATCAGCAAAGGCAAAATTATACTTGTATGGACATCTGGGAAGCATGTCTATTTAAGTGACAGACAACTGGGACACTTTGCATGTTTCCCAAACAGGAACTAATGAATTAACTAACTACTTAATCATCTCCAGGCTTTGTGTTGATTAACAAAAATGCTAACAAACAAGTTAGTGTAAAGTCTAAAAAGGAAAATAGGGGAATATCAGCCTTCCGGAAAATAGTTTAGTACCAAGGTTATTATTAAGGCAAATACAAATGTCATTATATCATTAATTTCCCATAATGAAAAGAGACTGAGCAAACAGCCCAGATTAACAAGCAAAGCCGACACAGAGAGGGTGGGGATCATAGGAGAGAGGGGTAGGTCCCCTGTTTGGAGAAGTCTGAGAACCTCTTGTATTCGTCCTGCTACAATACACTCCATCATTGTTGGGCTTCATAGTTTGATAGTCTGTCTTAAGTCCCTGGCACATCGGGGCACTCTTGAAGGTAGAAATTAAAAGAACAAAGCAGAGGCATAGTAGCCTCTAAGCTCTCTGTGATTTTCAGCAGTATCTCAAACTCCGTCTCATTTAAAAAGAGCATAATTGGCCCTGGTCATTTTCTCTTACTTGTCTACTGTTTGCCATACATACAGGAGGTGAATTACCTTCCTTTCACAACCCGGCCAAACTTCCACCCATCCGATCATGCAGACAGGGCACAGCATACAGAAAAATCTGACCTCCCATTGCTGGAGGAGGAAGACATCTCAGAGAGGTTAGTCGACTTGGATGGGACCACAGAAAAAAGTCACTATCAGATTTTGGAGGAAAGCTTTGGTGTGCTTTTGGTTGTCCTCCTCACACCATGGCACAATCATTCGTTGCCATTTCTGGGACTGACTGCTGACATGGGATCTCAGTGTTGTTAAAATGGTGATGCCAAACAATTAGTGCTTTATAGACAGGCAACTCACTACTACTCTTACCATGAATAAGCCAATAAACAATCCAAATGCAAAATAACAGTGTATATCTGCATTGGTTTTGATCTTCATGGATTGGCATACTACCCAAAACACCTGTGTTCTTCTTTCCTTCTGAATATGCTTCCGGTTGGTCTGTTTTTCTAGTTTTGATTTCTGTTTACAGATAATCTTTCATCTTGTTTAGCTTCATCTGATAATGGCTGCCCTCCTCACTATTAGAATCCAGACAGCAAAATAAGCTCCAATAAAATCAATGGGAAAGTGACACAAGAGTTCAGTATATTCTCAGAGTAAGTTCCCAATAGTATCTTGACAGATGTCATTTACATGTCCTGAAATAACACACAATTTAAACTTGTGTCAAATGTGCTTGGCTTGTTTTTGTTAGCAGCTAATCAAAATTGTACCAGCAAGTCCTCCCAGAAGAAAATAAGGATTAATAGAAAAAGATATTCTTTGTTTTTTAATTTTTCTCCAGTTTATTTTTTGGACATAGTGGGTGCAAAGTGTCACCTATAGCCAAAACCTGGCACAATACTGTGCCTCTATGTGTTTATAAACCCCTCTGGCAGTACCTGTTTCAACGGTATCCCAAGCTATGTCTGACTTTAACCAAGCCCTGTTTGGGTTGCTGCACAATATGGTGAACAGAGAAGTGCTTGTGGCTCTGCATGAGCCCAAACCCACGTGCTCCTGAGGTATGGCACGTCTGCATTTGTGTATAGCATCCATCTAACCTCCTTGGAAGCATTAAAGATTGTGATTAATTTAGTTTTAATCTAATCAGATTATCCTCAGGTTCAAGCAAATGAAATACATAAGTAGATTGTCAGGATGAGAAAGCAATATTTTCATGAAATGAACGGATTAAAAACATAAGACAAAGGTCTGACTGCTCAATCAGCTATAATCTAGATGGCAGGCCTTGAGAAATATAGGTCAATATGTTTAATGTTAGATTCTTCAACAGTCCGGAGATTTAAATGTATTTTAAAAATCATAATTCTAAATTTGAGGCAGTGGTTGAACTTCTGAAATGTTTTCAAGACAACATAAAATAATCTTCTCATTATTTTGCTACCTCCACTTACTCTGAGCTCTGCTGTGTTGTCCCCAGTTGAGGTGAAGCGCACTACACATACAGAGCAAAGAAGTTTTCATTTGCAAGCAAGGACGGCCAGCTCTTCCACATCAGGTCTCTTCTCTTTAGAAGCAGGAACCTCTCAGGTTCCTGAGCTGAATCCAACCGGGATCATGAATGAGTTGTGAGCTGCACAGCCCACCATACAAATGAAAATTGAATTCAAGGAGGGTTCACCTTACTAGGCCAGGTGGGGGTTGGATACCCTGCCCGCAGTAACCCTTGCAGAGCACAGGGAGCGAGCAGGGGCACAAGCCCTCAGATGGCTCCAGGTGAATCAGGAGAGTGCTGGGGCCAGGACCAGTGTGAGGGAAACCATCTTTCGAGGTGAAAATATGTCCCAGCTGCTCACAAGCTCTTGTTTATCCTGGGGAAGGGTCTCAGCCAAGGCCTGCACTTGCCTGTCCCCCCACAACACAAAATAACCCAGCCTCCCCCAGCCCAAGAACTCGCATGGTAGCTCAGAGAGAGATTTGGGATGGGAAGGTCTGTTAGACCAAAGTCACCATCACTCACTGAAAGGGAGATCAAAAGGAAAACAAAATTATGCACACAGTCCTGGTGAAACTGTACTAGTTTATAAACAGTGTAAGCATAAGAGCCGCTTTCAGTTCATTTTTGTGGTGAAAAGGTTTTAATTTAAGCATACTTGACAGGTACACACAACCAAACATAAAGCTTATATTCAGTAAATACTTATTTTTAGTCATGTAAGAAGCCCCAATCTCTAGAGTACAAAAAGGTTCACTTTACTGTAGCCATTGCATTGCATGAACAGAATGTGTTGGTTTAAACACAACAGTGATGAAAAAGGTTTAAAAATGAAAAGAACCAAGTTGCCAGCAGCAAAAGGACACAATCCGCAGGAAAAAAAAATAATGTATTTATTGTTCCTTGGCGGCTACTAGAAGCTACTTGTGGTAATTAAAACCAACTCTGAACTGTACAGTGTTGACAGCAGGGTAAGATGTTTTCCAGCCAGAGGTAGAATCAATTGCACTGCTCTAGATTGTCTTTATGGACTTTTATTTTTGTATGGTTTTATGTTTTTTTCTTTTTTCTCATTAGTCAAAAAGACATCACAAAACAACAATTGGCTTTATGTCAGCATCAGCCTCTCAAAAAAAAAATTAATTACAAAATGGGAATTATTGAAGAAAAAATGATACTGAAATCTAGCCCTAAACTATATGGTCCCTTTACAGAGTATCCGTGTATGCTATTGAAGTAAATAATATTAATCAAATACTGAGCAATTTATAGAGAGATTCAATCCCAGTTAATTTAATCTCTGTATTTACCATTGATCTTCTAGGTTTGAATGTTAAATATCTGAAATAGAGACATAGTGACAAATTCAGCCTCACCTTGCCCAGCCCAAGATCCTTCAGACCCTTGGGAGTGCTCTTACGTGTTCCTCAGGCGACAACCTTGCTTTTATCCTCCATCCTCCTCACCAAACACCTACAGAAACGCCTGCAGGACTGAGGGGCTGAGGACTTCAGAGCTACCAGGCTGCCTTTCCCAAGGCAAAGACTGTGATCTTGTTAAGCCCTTGTAATGTATAAATGCAGTGCACGTTCTCTGAGGTGGGGTCCAGTTTGGTCTTCTAAAATATATACCTGTACCTAAAAGCTATTAATGAAAACGGCTGCTACCTACCTCTAGTAAGTTAGTAACTGCCTATCACTGTTGAAAATCAACTTTTAGCCCTACGTTTTTCAGGGCAAGTTTCCAATGCAGCCTCTCAGGGGATCCCGCCTAACCCGGGTGGCCTTCGGAAAGGCTGCCGTGCCAGACGGCCACGCTCCCCGCCCGTTCTGCCCACGGTGAGACTCGGCGCTTAGAAACCCGGGAGATTTCGGGCAAATTTTTCCGCCTCCGGCACCGTTCGACTGGGGCTGAAGGGCCGGGCTGGCGGCGGCCCCTCAGCGCTGCCCCCGCCCCCGCGGGGGGGTGGGGAGGGGGCGGTGCCGCGCGGCGCGTGCGCGGGAGGGGGGCCAAGCCCGCACATGCGCCGTGCTGCCCGCCTGCCGCGGAAACGAGACCAAGATGGCGGCGCCCAGGGCCAGGAGCGGGAGCTGAGGGTGCGTGAGTTAACGGTTGCGGGCTCGAGCGCCGGGCTCGCCTCCAGCCAGGCCAACGAGCGCCGGGCTCTGCTCCTCCTCACGCTCACCCTCGGGCGGCCGTTGCCCCCGGTACCTGCCGCCGCCCGCCACTCCCCCCCCCCCGCGCATCCCCTCGCCCGCTCCGTCAGTCTCGCTGTTGCTGCCGCCGCCGCCCCGCCACTGCCGGCTCCGCCAGCGGCCCCTGTGCCCCCCCCCGCCCTTCTCCCGCACTGCTCTCCCGCTCGTCCTTGCCCGCCGAGGGAGCTCCTTGCTCCTGTGCTTGCTTCTCCCCCAGCGGGCCACCACTACGGGGCTTTTGCTAGTAAAACTGCAGCGGGAACAATGTAGTGAGATTTTGGGGGTTTTAATACAAATTTGAATCGCAGGGAAGGGAAGGAAGTTGCCGGCCTGCCTCACTTGCAGGGTGAGTGAAATGTGCAGGCCCTTAACAAGCAATTGTCCGTACCTTAATGTAGTAAAGGGTTCTTTTCTTGTGTGTCTATTGCATCTTTTCAAAGCAGGGTCTCAACCTTTGTACCTCTATCAGTCCAGCTCCTTCCTCCCCTCTTGGAACACCTGCCTGAGTTGGACAGTTTTGGGTTTTAACCTGCTCCTTTGAAGACCCATCCAGCCCTGGGCTGGGATGCCCTTGTTCTAGTGCCATGCCTGGAAAGGCAGAAGCCCTTGGTGACACTTATTTTGTATTTGGTTACCCTCTGTGCTACGTGTCCTTCCTTGGCTCAATGTGTGACTTGCTGATCATTGTATCTTGTGCATGAGGGGGGTCTGTGAGCTGGAAAGAGACCACAGATCTCTTTCTCATTCTGAAAGTCCGTGTGTTTAAATGAGGTTTGCTCTAACGCAGTGTGACCCAGGCTGTGACCCCTTTCTCAGTGACATCCACTGCTCTGACCCCTGCTTTTGTGACCGGTAGAGCCTGAGGTCACCCAAATGTGCCCTGGTAGGCAACATTAGCAGGTGGGTTTCTCTTGTGCTGTGCACAGGGATGGGGTCTGGCTTGTGTCTTTTCTGTCTCCCTTCAACGAAGGATTCACATGTGTATAACTGTTGTGTTTTAAAATGCGTATTTTGTAAATCAACAATGCTGAAAGTGGCCTGCCGTAGGGAAGTACTCCTTTCTGTTGTAAAATAATTTGAAGTAATAGAAATAAGACATAAGTAATAAGGAAATAATAAGCATGAGCAAAACACTGAAATGTTCATGTTAATTTTGAGCTGAGTGCATAAGTGTAGGGTTATGGAGGGGGAGAAATTAGGTGTCTCCTGAATAACTTATGTTCACCTGCACCGGGAACACTGAGTTCAGCCCTGGAGTTGTTATTATTATGAGAAAGATTTGGGAGATGAGCAAGAAAAAATTTCAAGTACTGGCATGATGTATGTAAATGAAAAACTTTAAAAGAGCCTCCTCGTTAAGTAAGAGAGAAAAGGTGCAATTCTGTAGATACGTAGTGAGACAGGCAGTGAGGGCTTGTGTACACATGTGGTGAATGTCAAGGAAGTGTATCTCCCACCAGCTTACTGGGGACCTAATTTAGGTGGTATAGCAATTATTTCTACTGATAATGTTGCTATCGTATGGGAAATACATAAATAAAACTATTTCTTATACAGACTTTCTTTGCACAGGGATTTTACTGATGTTACTCTCTGGAAAAAGTCATGAATTGACTGAAATAGCTAGCTTGGTACAACAGTCAAGTGTATAGGCCAAAATCTGAAAAAAAAAACAAAAAACAAAAAACAAACCCACAACTATAGAGGGTAGGAAACATCAATATAAATAAAGAAACAAGGTTTTTAAAAAAGGCATTAGGAGTGAAGATGAGGAAGAAATCTCAGAGTGGTTTTTTTTTAATGCCATATTTTCTACCATAGGAAGTAAAATCAGTAAATATCTTATTGAAACCAACCCCAAATGTGGGCACTATTTGATCTTTCTCACATCGGAGTAGTTTTATTTTAGAAGACTCACTCTAAAGCATATGAGGAGTTCTTTTAACTGGATTTTTAGTTGAAAGAGACCTGGATTGCTTGATTTATTAAATTATATCTTGTCTGAACAGTGTAAGTTTCTCATGCAGTTCCTGCAGGAAACTATACTGATGAGGAAGCCTTAGCAAAATAGTCAATTTAGAATGTCTAGTTGAAATCTACTAATTATAGTCATACTCCCCCATCTCTTTTCAGTGATGACAAACTCAGTAGTTTTACAGGATAATTTCATCCAACTTCCTCTTCTCCCTCTTTCATTCTAAATTTTTACTAACACCCTGTTAGCCATCTTCTGTTCAGGCAGCTGAGATTCCTGAACCTTCAATTGACCGATCCTCCTTTTATGGGAGACTGAATGCAGGAATTGTATCTCACTAGAGAAGGAATCTAACAGAACAGTTTTATTCCATGCAAGGGCCACAGTTAAGTTCTTTTGGCTGAAAAATAAATGCTTTTATAATTCAAACACATGGGAATAACATGCAAGTACCATGGAAAACAGCCAAGTAATCTAAATCAAGCTAAAATATGTTTCATAGCTACCAAATTTCTGTATAATCATAATAACCAATGAATTTGTGTTCTGTACAGTAGACTGAAATACATGTTTTTGTCTTTTTCAGATATCGTAATGTTAAGAATGCAGTCGCTTTGTCAGAGAGTTGGCACTTGTTCCTTCTCTTTGAAGAGACAACTAAATGGCTTCCCGGGATTAATTAAATGGCAGAGAAGACTGATTCCTGCTTGTGTCAGAACTATTTACAGTGAGACGGGGAAATGGGAAAAAAGCTATGGGTTAGAGACAAGAAAAAGAGTTGAAAAATGGTGGCTCCCAAGAATAAAGGATCAGTTCTGCAGAATTTCAGAAACTGATGTAAGCAATATGAGAAACTTGGAAATTACATGTTTAATATTTTTGTTTTCTCAGAATGAAATTAATTGAAACTTAGTTGGCTTATAATGATGAGATATATTTTACATTTCGGGGGAAAATACTTTTGCATGATAGTAGGTTATTAGAAACAGTTGATGAAATAAATGGAATAATAATAATAATAAAATCTTGAGGAAAAACAAGGTGATAAGCAAAGTATGAACTTGTAAATTTAGGAGGTGTTTATGTAATTAATTATTTCTTAATATATTATACCACATTTAGAAATTAATTATTTAAAGTATTAAAAGAAACATCTTCTACATTCATAACTTTTGTAAAAAATTTTCTTAGGATCTTGCTCCCAATGATTATGGGAAATCTATTACACTACACACTGTGACTCATTAAAATCTATGTTAAGGGAAGATGATTTTTTAAGAATATTTTCTGGTTTACAGTGTCTTAGGAACAATGGGTGACATGCAGAAAAAAAAAGTTTTACCATGCAATAAAAGATCTTGAAAACAGTGGTAATCTCAGTCTCTGACTCTTTTTGCCTTCACAATTATGCTCAGTCACATAGTTATAAGAACATTTTTGTGCCTCTTCATGTTTGTTCTTATTTCCTAAAATGTGCCCCCGTCCAACAAAAAATTAATTCTAGCCAAAAGTCAAAAAGAGAAGAGGCTTGCTTTTTCTGAGGAATAAACCAGATGAAAATGATGTGCATGCATACATATAGCAGAGAAAGCATTAATTTAGGCTTGTGTCTTTAATATCTGGCAATACATGTATACATAGGTGTCATATATATGATACATACATTAACTTCTAAGCTGTACTTTTAATTATATTTTTTGTTTTATCCTTACAGTTGAAGTAGATTTAATAACATATTGAGAGGCAAATAGTGTATAGTGCTGCAATGATGTATTGAGATTATTTCTAATCTTATTGTTAGACAATCTTACTATTATTGGATAAAGAAGTAATATTTGATAAATATTTATAATAGAGTTTTGTTCAGAATAGTAGAAGCTGCCCATATTTTTTTTCCCATTATTAGCATAAGAAAAAATAACGTAGGAACTTATCAAGCATGTATGGATGATAAATTCAGTGGTAATCAAGATATATTAGGAATAATTTATGTGAGAGAGATAATGTTTGGTTTCTCTGTAACTTTTGTCAATTTACCAAAACCTGCCTAAATTAGATTATTACTTTATGTTCACTGTGCAAGATAGTGCAGGTAAGATGTCTTTGGATCTGAGCATACGTAGTGGAACTGAACAGTTTCACTTCAGTGGATGTTGATGGAATTGCAAATGACTGAGTTAGTCACTCAGTGAGTTACTGCAGTTCAGCAGACAAAAAGCAACTGGCCAGGAGTGAGCTCTATGTTTGTTGTAAATACAAAGTAAAACACTTATTTAAACTGTTAGGAGGATAATTTAATCTGTTATGTTTTTATTTTTTGGTGCGACAGATTAGGAGCGCACAGATAATCAGTTACAGATGCTATGGTAGGGAATGGTGATTTATTAAGATGCAGTTATGTTAATTTATCTCTTGTTGAATAAAAGTTGATTAAAAACAATTTTCAAGTGCCATATTAATATAAATTGATGAGATGGCAGCAAAGTCAGAGAAAACATATCCATTTACAGCCCCAAAGAATTTGAGCCAATTAACTTTCTCAGAGCTCACTTAGATCAGTTCCAGCAGAACCTTGTTTTTCTTCATGGTACCGTGTACTTTATAATGTGTTTATTCAAATGAAATGCTAACTCATGCAGTTAAAACTTTCTAAAAATTTCTTTCTAGAAATCAAGACCAAAATTTTATGTGCTTTCTATGTTCCCATATCCTTCTGGAAAGCTTCACATGGGCCATGTTCGTGTCTACACCATCAGTGATGCAGTAGCTCGGTTCCAGAAAATGAGAGGGAGGCAGGTAAGAAAAGATTGGTAGTAGGACTGGGTGGGGTTTTTTTATGTTTTAATATCGTAATTGGTCAGGAAATTAGTATTTTCCAAAGTCAATTAAGGTGCAGCTTTAGTTGGAATATATGCTACAGATGCATAGATAATGACCTGTGGATCTTTGAATATTGACATTTGAGACTTTTTTAGAACAGGTGATGTTCAGAACTCATTGTTAAACTGTTAGAAGCCCTCTCCAATGATACAGCTGATGCTGTATCAGCTGTGTGAATCTATTGAAACGCAGCACAGTGTTGATGAGATGTGGGCCACACCGTTTCTGTGATGGGAGACTGAAGACCCTACTGCTGTCTGTGTGGGACCATGGGGGAGGAGAAGGTGTAGCTGGCAAGAGAAAACTGGGACAGCACAGAAGTCAACCCCTTTCACCTCTTCTGCTCCTGAGAACTGGTTGATGCCTTTTGTCAGACTCAGAGGGACATCCTGCTCTTCTGTGCCAGCTGGGAGGGAAACCCTTTCTCATGACTGCTGCAAGTCAGAGGAGCAGAGTCACGTCACACCTCGCATCGTGTGGGTGTAACTGTAGAGGTTTCTGTTCTGTAGCGGCTGACCGCTTGGCTTGCCTGTTTCAGCCTTGCTCATACATCTGAAATGCTGTCTTCTGAAGGTACAAGTCTACGAGATAGGCTGAGACTAACATACTTGCTACATCTGCAAGGAGAAATTCCACTTTCCCCTCTGTGTCCCTCTGTTTTCCGGTTACCCTGTGCCTGCTATAATTTCTCCCTTGCTCCCTTCTCTCTGGTAAGCGGCAGGTGTCCCGAGAGCCTCATCCCTGCAGTCTACAGGTGGGATCCTAATTGGTGTTTGGCAGTAAAGGCTGGTGGGTAAAATTTGAAGGATGTAAGGAAGATGTGGGAGAATTGTGGCCTGAGTGACAACCATATTAAGGAGGAAGATGACATTTGGTAGATGGAAAATGTTAAAAATGGTAGGAAGGAGGAGTATGGAAAGAGAATACGCAATTTTGGGGTAGGGAACAAAAAGGAAAGAAATAGCTATAGACAGGAGTCTAGGATGAGACTCAGAAAGGAATTCTGTAATGTAGAAGAGAGATGGAGCAGCTCAAGAATATAGGAATCAGAACCTTCAAAGAGTACAAAGAAGATGAAGAAATAAATGTTAGTTGCTCGTTGTGTCACTAAGTGCAATTTCCTTGCTACAAGTACCATAGAAGTGTAGTTTTTCCTGGATTTATCACCATCCATAAGACTCTTAAAGGTATTGTCACTGAATTATTCAGCGTGCTGCCTTTCCAAATACTATGTATTTTATGCCAATGATGAACATACTGCACGCTTGAGTATGTGCTGCTGCTTTACAGAAATGCATTCTCATGCTTTTAAAATTACAGGAAAAAGCAATAACTGCCTTAGACTTTAAATGAGAAAAAAAACCCCCAATGTCTGTTGTAACACTAATCTTTCCTAACTCCTCTGAATGTCCAGAACTTAGATCTCACTTAAAAAAATGAGCTAACTAGGCTCTTGAAGGGACTTGATTCTTGCTTGATGTTAAGACCACTGGAAATGTCATTTCAGGACATGGCTCATCTCTCATCAATAACAGTGGAGATATCCATTAAATTTCTGTTCAGAAAGATGAAAACTTGCTTCCTCTTCTACTTGCTAAAATAAAGTGAAAATAATTGGCTACATCCAATAGGATGCTGTAGGTTGTTAGCCTTTGAATACAGGGGAAGTAAGCACCTTTAGTAGAAACCTTTGGAGAAAATAAAATATAATTGCAATGAAATACAAGAGCCACTGTGAAAGCAAGTTTTTATTTCCATGATTGCCTATTTTTTTTTTCCAGAAAAGTTTTGAAAGTCTTAAAGTTTTTAAATCTTGCGTTTCAGCTTATTTTTATATTTCATGTAAAAATGACTTTGAAGGATACTAGAGTGCCTGTAGAACATGCTGAATTTCTATAAATATGCGTATCTTCTGTTGTGTTAACCACTTTGAACATCTATTTATGACTAAAGGTGGGCAGTCAAAGAATTTAATCTTCATGTATGGTTAAGAGACATTAAAGATCTCTCAGATGATTTTCTGAGTATGTCAGACTAAGAGCTATTGTGTTAGTGCTGTACATTAACTTCCTGGAACTTACACTTACTTTAAAAAAACTTTTGTTTATTAGCCATGCTAATTTCTCCATCGCTTAGAATTAAAGTCTTTATAATTGATTTTTCTCTCAATAATTCATCGGCCTCTAGATGTTTTCTCTGACCATTGTCACAGTTGTATAATGTATTAAAGATTTCTTTCTTGTGATGGCTTTGGGCTATGATGTAGTTATGTCTTATCATACATAAAATTTTATATTCTCAAGAAAAATGTTTTTCCTTGTATTCACAGAATTACTGGAATTCTTCAGGACATGAGACAATGCTTTAGAAACAAAAAAATGTTAGTATGCATAATTTTGAGGTTATTCTATTGATTGTATCTTTTTCTTTCTTTCTTTCTTTCTTTCTTTCTAGAAATTCAGCTTTAATATTGCATGTGTGAAAGTTGAGGGACTGCTAATTTTTCCCAAGTCAAAATTCTGAGTAGAAGTGAATGTATTTCAGGTATTCAAGGCAAGTTTAGGGAAAGATTTTTGAGTATTAATGTCGTTTAAACTTTGCTTCCATAATTTCCAAACTAAAAAAAAAGGAAGAGTCATATAAAATAATCTTAGAAACTGTACCTCTACATATAGGTGTAGAACTGACCCTGGTTAGCGAGTCATAAAACTGTGCTAGAAGCAGTACATATAGGTTGAAAGTGTTTGTAAGGCAATGAGGAATGATGGACTGTTACCATGAAATATACAGGCAAAAATATTCAGACTTACAGTTCACACAGTAAACTTCAGACTGCAGTGTACATTTGTTGTCTAATAAACAGTGAGGCAAAAGAACAGGGAAAATGCATATGGTGTGTACATAGTTGACTAGCTTGAATAAGAGAGGAATGTATGTTGAATACGGTGGGGATGTACTTCTTAGAGAATGCCTTTATGAGAAAATAGTAAATTAATTTCATATTGATTTAATCTGAACAGGCAATAAATTACTTATTTGTTACAATACTTAAGTAAGGATAAGCTTAAGTAAGGATTAAAGCTCCTTTAGTAAACTGGAACCATTCTTTGGAATGCATGCATGTAATTTCTTCATATTGGAGGTGGTTTGAAATCTTAACTGGGAAAGTGTTAAATCATTTGGATGCTGTTTTTTTGTTTTTCTGAAATGGAACATGAGTATTTCATTTTTCTGGCTGGATAGGATCTGATTTTGTTTCAATTAAAATATTATAGAGAGGTAATACGCACTGAAATCTACTGATATTTGCCAGAAACCTGTACTTCACCAGCATTTTAAGTGGGAAAATAATTTGTTGCTCTTTTTTTCCCCTATTGTTTTTGGAAGAAATACTGCTTCAGCATAAAGCCATAGATGATATTGGTGACTATTGACACTGAAAATGTGCAATCAAACAGATTACCTAATGAGCAGCAGCCTTTTCTGCAGTACCTGACTGGCTGGTCATTTATTAAATGGTGTACAAGGGTGGGGTTTAATGCAAGTGTAACATCACAACAGGCAGCCACTTTTCCAATGTACTGATGAGTGATAAGCTTTGCAGAGTTGTCAGCAGGGGGTGCATGAATGTGTGTATTGCAGTACAAAGGTAGTCTCCAGGGTTGTACGGCCATGGGGCCAGCACAGGGATTGTGCTGCTGGATGAGGAACTCCCATTTGTTTTACCTGAAAATCTGACTGGTGAAGCGTTGTCTTGTTTCAACACTCCTCAAGGACCCGTAGGCAATGCATGGGAAACAAACTCTGTCATGCACTTGGATTGGGTTGCTGGGTAAATGGTTTGCAGAGTACATCTGTTGTAAGATAACTTGTTTATATTGTAATTACTGAAGATAAAGTTTGAAGTTTTTGTGTAGGAACTGTAAACCATATAGATTACTTAGCATGAATTCTCTGAGCTAGTCTCTTTCCAAAATGTGTTAAGGATAACATGTTTCTTGAAGTACAATTAAAACAATTTTTGTATGTGGAGAGTTCTAGTCACAGATCTTACTACAAACATATTTCTTTAAAAATATTTTTTAAAAGTAATTTATATATTTTAAATTACAAATTTGTATCTATTAATAAACCAATCCAGAACTATAATGCGCAATTTTTGGTTGTGTTTTCTCTGTGAATTTACATTCATGTTGTGAATTCAAATGTAGGAGTTTTGTAAGAAGAGATTTCCTGTTCATTATTTGAGAGTGCCATGTACAAATTATAGAGATATTAGTGGTGATTTTCGCCGTGGCAGATTTCAAGTGTGCTGCTGCTCAGGGAAAAAGTATTTACCATTGCTTTATCATGCTGTCATTATCATGTCTTTGATAAATTCCAAAGTGGATAATTTGTGCCTCTCGGAGGACTGAGAATAATTCCCTTAGCAGTCAGTAAACAGAGAGTGATTCAGTTCAATAGTTCCTGTGATATCTTTTTAATAAAATTTTGAATTGAAATTGATACCACAGCGAGACTGTCACATGTGTGAGTTGTGCAGAAATGAGCATGATCATTTGACGATTCAGGGTGATATTCCTGTACACCAGGATCAGATTTCTTTATATATACTTAAACTGCTCCTCACAGGTGGGATTCAGATCTTGTCAGTGATAATTCCACAATATTCCCAAATGTCTTAAAGAACATTTTTGGTTTTATCCAGAAAGTGTTTTTTTAAAAATTGGATGTATTTTCATTAATTGTTCTCCCTTTCAGCAGTGAATCTTAATACTCTTGAAATTGCAAAAGTGGATGGTATTGAATAAAGGCAAGTTTAACTAAAACTTGAATTTCTCAGTAGGATGAATTATTTTAATACATTTCCATTTTCTGATCATCATTAGTTGCTATTCTCCACCATTTTTTTTGTGTGTGAGGCTGTTGTGTCCTTTTGCCAGGTTATTTTCTATGATATAAACCAAATGGAAAGTATTACAAGTATCCTATGTGAATTGCATCTTATTTAAATTTAGTCTTCCAGTCGCAAGTACTGAAGGTGTTAAGGAGCTCACTCTGTTTCATTTTGAAAGAAGAAGAGAAAATGGCGTATTATTTTAAATGCAATTATGTTAGACAAGAATGTGTGAGATTAAGATGAGATTTGTTTTCTAAGTGTTTGTGGTAGTGTATGGACATAGAATGATTTCTCATATTTTGTATCTTGTGACAACAAGAAATAAATTAGAGCATTTTATAAGCAGAGTTATGTTTTGATAGAAATCTGTGTGGGTTGATTATTTTTTAATTTGAAAGTACCTTATCAGAATTCTAATATGCAGCATTGTGTTGTGGAGAAGCACTGAAATAGTCCTTGCTAGAATGTACACAGTAGTTAAAAATTCAGTATTTTAATCTGTTTCCAGATGTGCCTTGTCTGCTTTTTTTTTTTATTGTGTGGTGGTGGTAATTTTTAGCTGTTCTGTAACAGTGTTTATTACCTACTACACTTAAAAGACAATTTAGGCTGCATTCTGGTGGGGATCTTGTGTTTAAAGTGTGTTGTATCTGTAATCTGTCAGTTTGCAAATCAGATTTTCAACATGTTCAGCCTAATTGTAGGTGGACAGTGGAAGGAGCAGCCATCCTCTCCTTTCTCCTCTCCAACTGCGTGTCCTCACTCTCTCACTTGTGTGTGATTGCACAATTGTGAGGTAAGTGCAGAGAGGATGACAGAAAGTTGCTGTTGGAGCCAGGGGTGTTTTCTGGCAGCTGGAACTTTGGACCATGGATGACCTATTTTCTCAGCCTTTTTTGGTTAGTTCACATCAAGTGTGTCGTGGGGCTATAACTAGAGATAGAAATGTAGACTTTGCTGTACTGATTCAAATCACTGACCTGTCAGTGAGCCTCTTAATTTCTGGTTGACTTCTCTTGTCACACATTCTCTGAAATAAATATATTTATTTACAGGCATTTTTGACACTGATTCTGCTGTCTGTCCTAAAATCTAGAATGCATCAATCTGGATATAAGAAAGATATGTCAGCTCCCTGGTCATAGTTTTGAGACATACTGAGCACATCAGGAGAGCAAACAAGTTCTTTGTTTCCTTACAAACATTAAGGAAAATTCACTGAATCGTCTGTCCTAGTTATGTTGATGGAGGCATAGAACTGAGTGTTATGAGATCATTGTCAGCTTTGTGTTATATAGTACTTACTGATCTCGCCTACTAATGTCAGTGTGATGGGCTGATAGTTACAGCAATGAATAGATGAAGATCCTCTGGGAGGAAGAGCTGAGATCTCACAAATGAATTAGTGGAGTTACAGTGTCTTCCTCTGCTTTGTCCCACAGTCGCATTAAGAGCTCTAGCCATCATTAACGACAGATTTTTGTCCATGCTGTGAAATGATTCTTTAGAGCAATGCTTCCAGCTAATTTGAAGTCAGGGTCTGTAGGATCTAAAATGATTCAAGATGCAATTGTTTTTCTTTTTAATAATCTGCTCCTGAAAAGACTGCTCAGTGTGGTTGTTACCAAGCACTTTGTTCCCCCCACAGTAATTAATCACTTCCTTGCAACTTTATGTTCCTGTGCAAAACATAGTATGTTGAGTGGTAGAAAATGCCAGTCTTTCATAGCTGATCCTGCCTGATCATGTGAACTTCTGAGGACCTTAAGCAGTTTTAACTAGGGAGAGTTTACCTGGCCACTTCATTGTGAAGACCAGAAACACACAGCTGCCTTTGGTGTTAGTACTGGCTTCTGCTGTCTTAAAATGACTGTAAATATAGCCTGCCTTCTTTTACCAGGTATAGGCATCCTTAGACTTACGTAGGCCTCCTGTCTTGCAAGATACGCTCATTATTTGTTTTCTTTCTCCTTGTGGCCTAGAGAAAGTGCTGTCTGTACAGAGAAGCGATGCTTGGAAGAATGGTCATTCTAGTGAGCAGAATTGATTCCTCAGTTGCATAAGGTTTAGAGACTGCTGTCAGAAGCAATCAAGTCAGCATTCAAGAAAGTGGATCGCATCTATTGCTCTGCTTGTCTGTAATGCTGGAGGGAGCAGCCATGTTTTCTACTAATTAGAGCCTATGACCCACCCATCTAGGAGCTACAAGGAATACCCTTTGGCCTTTAAAATTGCTTTCTACCTATTTTTTCTTTGTTTTGAACAGTTGAACTGTTCCTTTATTCTTTGTGCCAACTTCTGACATGTTAGTTGTATATTTTCTTCCCCTCTTCCATGTCTCTTGAGATTTTTGATCCTTTTCAGAACTACACAGTTAATCTCAGCCTTGTGTTTTATGTTGGCTGAGTTAAGATATAATGCCAAGTGCTTCATGGAAACTGTGGCATTTTAACTGTAGATATGTAACATACCTTCCAGCCAGAATCAGCTGACCTGTTGTTTAGACAAATGCATTTCACAAACCTTTCAAATCCATTCACAGTAGAAAAGTAGAAGAGACAATAAACTTGAGATCATTTTCTAAACCACTGTGCATGTTACATTCATCTCTATAGCAACCACATAAATAGATCTATCCTGGAGATTAATTTGAGGATATTTTTAATGTCTCTTTAAATTCAGGTTTCTGATTGAAACTTGCATTAGCATACTTCTTCAGCCCTTTAACTTGAAGAATGCTATTGGTTGTTGAATTGAACCGTCTTTTGAGTGTGATAAGTGAATACACTGTATGATATTTTTAATATACATGCTAGAATTGGGAAGGTCTGTGTGAGCAGATAATTCCTGCTAGTGCTGATGCTACAGTGATAAAATGTCTGCACATTAACTGTCTGGAGCATCAGTCAGCCCTTTTGGGGAGTCTATAGCTGCTAGTGAAGCTGTTCTTTCCACATCCTTTCGCATATGAGCTTGAGAAATTAGATTGTGCCCCACTTTTGGCTGTTTAACTATATCCAGGAGATCTTCAGAAGCCAAATTTTACAAAAATTAACCAAGAGTAGTTTTTCTAATCTCACTTAATATGCATCAGCTTGAAGTAAAAGAAGGCATTTGTCTAAACAAAGAGGGTTTAAAGAAGAGAAAATACATATTATACATGAAAAAAAAAAAGCTGGTTTATTTCATCATTTCTGTCCAGAGACCATCAGCAGAGTAATGGTTAAAAAGAGCTGAGCTGCAGAAACTAATGTTTTAGTGTGTCCTTAAAAAATTCTGTTGAGATTTGTAGTTTATGTAAAATCTGCCTTTCTTTTTTCTCTTTTGTACTAATAGTTTTGATTACTGGTGGGAGGAGGGAAAGGAGAAGGGCTGGGGAGAGTTGTGCTCCAACAGGGCATTGACAAGTGGCTTAGGCTCCAAATGAGATTTGCCAGTAGTGCTTATAATGTGGGGAAGCACAGAGTTAGGACTCAAATTTTCTGACACTGTGATATGAGGAACAATAATATGTCTCATAAGAGGGAAGATTCACAACACAGAATAGCATTCTGATTTCTATTGATGTATAAATCTAAAAATGTGCTGTGCATGGGCCCTTACTGTACTGGCTTGAATCACAGTTGGTCACAGGTTGATACCTTTGGTTTTGTTGCCGCACCAGCAAAGTAATGATATACAGCAGGTTTAGTTTTAGCTCAGTATTGAAAACAACAATGCTGAGGAGTCACATCTGTTAAATCCTGTTGCTTTTACACTGAGTTGGTGCCTAGGGCACCTTTGTAAGCATGTCTATAAAGTATTTTTTATGAAAGAATCCATTGAAGTCAGAGGATTGGAAGGTTGTGGCAAAGAAGAATAAAAATAATTCAAACCAGTGACAAAATAGCTCTTATGCTTCCAAAACTAACAGATTTTTCATATGGAGGTAGTTTATGAGATTAATATTGCAGGGCTTGTTTTCTTATTGCTCGTTTTCTTACATGCCACTAAAGAACAACTTCTTTATATAAATACATACATTAAGGGGTAAAAATTTTTATTTCTTACAACCTGTAAAATGTTACTTGGTCATGTTTTGCTATTATTAAATTTGTGTAACTTTAATCATAATTGTTGAATTCATAGCACGTTTGTTGGTGTAAGAAATGAGATTGTTTTTTTCAGTTATCCAATATATAAGTGTTTAATGACAGCATCTTAAGTTCTGGCCTTTATTTACCTGGTTATTAAACAGGTTTTTGAATACTAACTGTATTGCTAGATAATTTTTCTGAATAATTTGCATATTAATGGGAAAGATATATTTATTTTGACAGGAATTATCTGTTATATTTTGTAGTAAACATTTTTTTCCACCCTTATTTGTGGCCATGAAATACAATTTGTCAGTCTCTAGTCTATATTTACAAAAGATATTTTAGTAAAATTTGATTAAAACAGTTTTCCCTATCCTATTAATTTTATCTGTTGGATTTAAGGTTATCATAGAGTATTTATTATTTTTCCTTCAACAAAAAGAAAAAAAAGGTATGCTACACATCAGGTACAGTTACAAAACCATTGGTTCAATTAGCTTTGCTTGCTTTCTTCTTCTCTAGAATGAATATTTGGTTCTGTTTATCAGTAGCATCAACTACTAATTTTGACCACCACACAAATTTACAAAGGATTGATTTTTATCATTTTCAAGCTGGTATTGAAATAGTCATGAGGATTTATTGCATAATACTTTAAGCTTCCTCTAACATTGCATTGTAGGTAGCAAGTATGCTTCATATTCATCGTTTAACAGACCTAGCCATGTTTGACATGTTTTGAAGAGGATCAGCTGACACAAAGCAAATGCTGAAATGCAAAACATCGTTCGTTATTTGGAAGCCTGTGTGTGTTGCTGATGACATTCCAGAAGGTTACGTAAGACTGTGTTTTTCCTTTTTGCTGACAGGTGATAAATCCAATGGGATGGGACGCATTTGGTTTACCAGCAGAAAATGCTGCAGTTGAACATGGGCTTCACCCTGCAAGCTGGACACAAAGGTAGTTTTGAGTGAATTAAGTAATATGACATATCCACTGTGAATACCTGTACTGTGGCCCCCATAAACCCCCAAAACAGAGCAAAACCACTGTATAGGTAGAAGAAAGATGGTACAGAAAGAACCAGGGTTATTTACCAATATTTTATGGGACTCTGCGATAGACAATTCTATTTTGAAAAATAAATGTATTAGAATGATTTTCAAGGTTTTAATCTCAGTGATTTTAAAATTGTAAAAAGGTAGAATATTGAAAGAGTGATGTTTTCCAAACACCCAAATCAGTGAGTAAGAAATAAATCAGAATTTAATTATGGTGAGTTAAATCTTAATCTCGAATACACAGTTGAAAATTATGAGCTACGTGGTTAGATTTCCTAGCAGTTTTCAGTACTGTGCAAAAGAGGAGAAGATAGTTTTTTTGTTTGAGACTGGGTCTTGGAAGGTGATAAGCAGACATCATTGCTGCTGATTTCTGTGAAAATTTTGGTCTGTAGACCACAGAATTGGGTGTTGTGTACCCCTGATGTTCTCTAAAATGAATAGTAAGTTATATATGTAAACATTAACTTCTATAAGTGACTCAGAAACCAATCTTCTTAAGTGAAGCTGTTGTTACTGGACACAGTAATCTAGCTGTGGTGTTTTTTTGAATCTTGATGCATTTCCTTCTTTGATAACGCTGTTTCTTTTATGCTTCTGGTTTCATGTTAAGATAGTTGATACTTTAGCAAGTAAAATATGATGGCAACCTATTTCATTTAGGGAGAACATGAGTGCACTACACACAAATTCTGAGTTAGTTATGCTCATTTTTAAAAATTTCCTTCATGTATGATTTAGATAAGAATATGTGTGAGAACCAGTTACTGTCAAAACACGAAAGCCTGGTTTTGTTAATTGGAGATAGTCTGAAAAATCACTGTGCACAGTGTGTTGTGGTCTATCAATTATATTGTAGCATGATCAGTAAATTGATGATTTCAGTCTTCCTTCAATAAACCTACTGAAGCTCAGCTGTAAAACAAATCTGCATATCTTATATCCAAGTGCCTCATTTTTACCTCAGATATCTTGATGGAACCTTCAGCAGATAGAGTGTTACTGTGATCCTTACATACATGACAAATGAGGCACAGAGAAGTGAAGGTTGTAGTTTTGAGACAACGAGGCTCACATTAAGTACTTGCTGACTACAAAAGGGTTAGTGTTTTCCCCTTCGGTCTACTACGTGGTCCCTCCTCACCAATTTTACTAGCTTTGGCACTTGTAGGACATATTGTTGAACTGATTTGGCTTGCCAACCCAGGAAGAAAGCCATTCTGCCAGCTGATTGAGCTGAATTGTCTCAAAAGAAAAGCAGTGGGCATGTGGGACAGAGAGACTGTGCAGTAGCAAAGAACCGTATCAGCTCAGTCTGTCTTGTCTTAGCAGTTTGTCTAGGTCATATCAAAAAGCATGTGGCAGGGCACAGCCTGAGCTGATTCTCTTCTGCTACTTTCTGTGCTGCTCTGTTTTTCTCTTGTAAATAGGTGTGTATTGTTCCATACACTTAAAGCAGTTCAGCTAGTAGTTACAAGTACAAGGAGTTATATACTTGAAGAAAATTTTGCTTCAAAAATTTCCTTAGTAGTGAAAAGAGTGATTGTCATTTTTTAAGAGTTAGGTAACAATATTATAACAACAAACGGGGAAAAGTTAGCTCATCATCATTGTGACTGATTACAGTAATATCCAAATAGGAAAATTATTTACATAACCAATTTTTTTTTTTATTATGCTAGGGAAGGGAGTTGGTTCATCATATGTGCAGTTTAAATTCTGACCACTGAAGTAATTGCTGTCTCCCATTTTCTTCACTGTCACTGTCCTGAATGTTTCTCGTGCCTGCAGCAGGGCGGGATGACTGAATTGAATATGGAACTGTGATGGTGTGATAGCAACCTAATGTGTTTTAGTCATCCCTGGCGCACATCCAGCCACCCCTGTAAAAAGGGGCACACTGTAAGCATTTCAGTTTATTTGTTTCAGGAGTGAGCAACCGTATTTCAGAGTATCCTGATTTTCTGAAAAGGTGATTTAGAATGAACTCAAATTGGCTATTCTTATATTTTCAAAGTTAGGATAAATACTTAAAACAAAATGAAGACAGAGCTACTTATACAAAACAGAAGAATTTTTATTCATAAGAGTTAGTATAGTGGCAGGAGCTTTGTGAAAATAAATTTGAAGTTCTTTTCATCAGTACATTTCTGAGTGGGACTTTAATATAAGCAGTACTACTGAAAGTATGGTTTCTTCCAGTGGAAGCTGTGAGTCCGTAAGAGGATTTCCTGGTATACCCGTACCAGGAAAGGTGCTATACCAGAAAAGGCAGGGCTTTTCTAGTGTAACCAGGGCTCTGTGATTGTTAATAATTGATACTTGCATACTCAGTTATTCAGCAGTGCAGATTTGTTCTGGATCAGAATTAAATGCTTGGTTTCATGACTGTCAAATTAGCCACTGTGGGAGGATAGATGATGTTTCATCTGACATAACACATCTTAGTAGAAAGTTAAAAGTTCCTGAGAAATTTTAAGCGATTTTAAAGTATGTGAATAAATTCACACCAGGTCACTACTTAATCTTGTGTAATTATGGGTATTTTAGTAAACTATTTAGTACATTTTGTAACTAAAGCTTCACCGTATATTCTGAGGTGTCTTATTTTACATTTTTAATATCTGGGACTAAGTCTAGCCATACAGTTCTGCAGCTGAGTTAAGTTTATCAATGGCTGTTCTACCACCAGAAGTTTTAGGGATTACTTGTAATCTCCCAGGATATATATTCCCACCACCTTCTTTGTGTTGGCTGAGCTGTTTTTGCAGCCACGGTATTGATTTTCAGCAGCCTGTTGATTAGAGGGAAACAGCTGGTGAGGTGTTTTTGGAGAACTTTTTGTAGGTGTCATGGTTGGAACCTAGTTGGCAGCCAAACACCACGCAGCCAGTCACTCCCCCTTCTCTTCCAAGAGTGAGACGAGACAGATGAGCCAGGCTTGGGTTTCGAGTTAGGACTGAGATGGGACGAAAATCACCCATTATGGTCATGAGCAAAAGGCAGACTCGTTAGGGGAAGAAAAAAAGAACGTACATTTATTACAGACACTAACAACACTTAACAGAGTAGGACAGTGAGAAGCATTGCCACATTTTGAGAACACCTTCCCCCCACCCCTCCCTTCTTCCCGAGCTCAGCTCTGCTCCCGATATCTCTACCTCCTCCCCTCAGGGGCGCAGGGGCAGGGAATGGGGGGTGCAGTCAGTGCTGTGGCTTCTTCCATCTTCGGTAGGGGGAGCTTCTGGAACTTTTCCCCCTGCTCCATCGTGGTCCCCCTCTCACAGGAGACAGTCTTCCACAAACTTTCTCCGACTTAAGTCCCTCCCACCGGCCAGAGCATTCTCCACACTGCTCCATCGTGGGGCAACAACTTTCTCCAACCAGAGTCCCTCCCACGGGCTGCAGCCCTTCCCGAGTTGCTCCGACGTGGGACACCCCCACGTGCTACAATCCTCCCAGCACTGAATTACAGCAGCGGGGCTGCCTTTTCCCGCAAGACCCTGGCCGCCTTTGGGCACAGTCACATCGATCATCCAGGCAAAAAAACACAGGCCATAAATCAACGTCTGCTCCACCGTAGATCTTCATGGGTGGCGGGGGGGCCACCCTGCCGTCTCCCCATAGGATACAGGGAGGTCTCTGATCTGGCACACCTCCCTCCTCCTTTCTTCCTCTGTTCTGCCAGTCACCTTGGTGTTCATGCAGCTGCTGCAGCTCCTCCTCACCAGTCCCACTCCTCGTCACCACGTCCCTTCTTAAATATGTTATTGCAGAGGCACAGCTGGTTGGCTCAGTTTTGGTGCAGAGGTGGAGCTGACTTGGAGCTGGGGGAGCTTCGATAAGCTTCTCACAGGGGGCCGCCCCTATTGCCTCCTCCACTGCTACCAAAAAACCCACCACTCACTCACACCCAGGACAGTAGAGTATGTCTTTGGTTGAATGGGTGAGCCAATTCAACTCATCCTATAGCCATATGATCACCAGAGCAAAGCAAAATACAGCCAGGATAGCATTGCGAGAATAAAGCAGGATTAAGCTGATGATGAAGGTGTGTTTTACTACATGGTGAAGATTTCAGAGGGCCTTTTGGCTCAACTGCAGTAAAGATAATTAAAAATAATGAGAAGTGATACTTCAGGAACATTCCCCTTTAACTGCAGTGTCATATTTGCTTTTCAGTTACACTCAAAGCAAAAGAAAAATTGTTATCTTGTATACACAGCCATTGAAATCGAACCAGAATACAGTAGGGACTTTTAAAATTAATATTTAAGATTAGTATTCTGGCAGTTCCTTGAAGTTTGACTGCTAGTTAGATAATAGTGTATAAAGGTTAATTAGTGCTTTTGATTTCTCAGGACTTCATAAGCACCTGATTTTAAATATGATCACATGATAGAAATCTTTTAAGTTAATATATTTTTTTTTATTTTGCAGTAATATTCAACACATGAGGGAGCAGTTTGATGCACTAGGTCTGTCTTTTACATGGGAAAGGGTAAGATTTTCTTTTTTAAGACATGCTGCTTTATTGTATGATGGAACATTGAAAAACGTGGAATTTTACATTTTATATATGACTATATAGAAATCTCTGAAAATGGCGAGTTTAAGTTGTTAAACTGCAAAATTGAGCTTCTTTCAAGCTTTTCATCATATTTCTCTCACTTTTGATGTACTGATATCATCTGATAAACAACATGCCTTTATGTTAAGGTGCGTATGTTTTGAAGAGTGATTTTTCAGTGTGTATGTTTTTATAATATACTCAAGGGCTTAAAGCTAATAACTTGAAATGGTGGTTTAGTTATGTTATTCTAAATTTGAAGCATAAGCCTGCCTTTTTGTATGTGTTGATATCATGACCGTTTTGGAAAATATAAATTTAACTGAACATACTAATGCTTGAGAATTAGGTGTTCACCTTAAAAACCTTACCAAACACAATCAAGCAGAAGCTAATAAAAGCTTAAAGATAAAAAATAAATTAATTTTTGAAGTAATTGTAATGTTATTGCATTTACCAATGAATCAAAGTCGGTCCCTACCTTTATATTCTTAGCAATTACTGTTGCTTATCACCTTAATATGATTCTGAATAGAGTGATGGAGATGCTAATCTTGGATCTTGTCAAGGCTTGAGCCTGGTTGGCAGCCAAACACCGCACAGTGATTCTCTCCTCCTTCTCTTCCGGCAGTGAGAAGGGACAAATGAGCCAGGCTTGGGGTTCGAGTTAGGACCGAGAGGGGTAGATCACCCATTATGGTCATGAGCAAAAGGCAGACTTGTTATAGGGGAAGAAAAAAAGAGAACGTACATTTATTACAGACACTAACAACACTTAACAGGGTAGGACAGTGAGAAGCATTGCCACATCTTGAGAACACCTTCCCCCCACCCCTCCCTTCTTCCCAGGCTCAGCTTTGCTCCCGCTAGCTCCTCCTCCTCCCCTCAGGGGCACAGGGGTAGGGAATTGGGGGTGCAGGCAGTGCTGCAGCTTCTTCCATCTTCGGTGGGGGGAGCTTCTGGAACTTGTTCCCCCTGCTCCATTGTGGTCCCCCTCTCACAGGAGACAATCCTCCACAAACTTTCTCCGATGTGAGTCCCTCCCACGGACCGCAGCGTTCCCCACACTGCTCTGTCGTGGGGCAACAACTTTCTCCAACCAGAGTCCCTCCCACGGGCTGCAGCCCTTCCCGAGCTGCTCCGACGTGGGACACCCCCACGTGCTGCAATCCTCCCAGTGCTGGACTACAACAGCGGGGCTGCCTTTTCCCACAAGACCCCAGCCTTCTTTGGGCACAGTCACATCGATCATCCAGGCAAAAAAACACAGGCCATAAATCAACGTCTGCTCCACCGTAGATCTTCATGGGTGGCGGGGGGGCCACCCTGCCGTCTCCCCATAGGATACAGGGAGGTCTCTGATCTGGCACACCTCCCTCCTCCTTTCTTCCTCTGTTCTGCCAGTCACCTTGGTGTTCATGCAGCTGCTGCAGCTCCTCCTCACCAGTCCCACTCCTCGTCACCACGTCCCTTCTTAAATATGTTATTGCAGAGGCACAGCTGGTTGGCTCAGTTTTGGTGCAGAGGTGGAGCTGACTTGGAGCTGGGGGAGCTTCGATAAGCTTCTCACAGGGGGCCGCCCCTATTGCCTCCTCCACTGCTACCAAAAAAACCACCACTCACTCACACCCAGGACAGATCATTATAGCAGTATTGTAGATCTTAAAATGAAAATTATTAGTTTTCTGGCAGACTGAGACCTGCCATCTGTTTTCTCTAATCTTGAAGGTGAAATTGTTTATTTGTATGTCTTACATCTAAAAAACCATATTTTGTCATGTAATGTATATGGCAGGATTTTTCAATATAAGACTTTTTAATAAGATTTTAGTTTTCCTGGTAGCCAAAAAGTTGCTCTGAAAAGAAAAGATTTGTTGCAGAAGGATCACTGCACACGTTCTTGACAACTATTTTCTTATATTTAAAACTGTTGGTGTCTCAGAGATTTTCTATATGTATAATACAGCAGTACTTCAAAATGGTGAAATCGTATGTGTAGGCTGTATTATGAAACACAGAAGAGTTGAATGTTGCAGATTGACTTGCAAGAAAATTGAGAAGATTCACCTCTGTATATGGGCTTTTGTTTAATCCTTCCATTCTGAAGAAGAGATAGAGAACTGGCAGTAGTGAAAGCCATGGCAGGAAGTTTAAGTACACAGGGAAAAGTAATTTGTCATCTCTGCCTGTTCTTTGATGTTTACCTTCAATTTTCTAGTAAACCATGTTTTGGTTAATGAACTTTGAGAAGTCTCTGAATTCTTGTGGAAAGGGATTTGTTACTTTTCAACTAAGTCCATTTGAACAGCTGTGTAATTGAAATAATTTAGAATGCTCTAGGGGCACACAGTTAGTGTTTTTGAAAGGTAAGATTTTTAAAACAGCTAAAAAGTGTTCCTTGAAACACAATGAATTTGGGAGTTTTCACTCCTTAGCTTGAGTTAAGTTTTATTTTACTTAGAAAGCTTGACTTACTGACTGGAGTAACAGTGACCCGAATGGTAACCATTAGAAATAGATATGTTTATTCATTGCAAAGAATGTGTGATGCCTGAAATGTATCTGTATTGCATGATTTCCAAATGCACAGATATTTGGGCTAGCCGTGAAAAATCTGCCTTTGGAAGTGGAACAGCTAAGCTGTAGCAGAGTGCATTTTCCAGGTTGATAAAGCCTGCTTCTCTGCAAAGCTAATTAGGCTGGGCAGAGCATCTTACTGCCTCAGCAGTACAGTTTTTGGGCTAACTCAAGCGTCTTTGCACAGCAATGCACTGTGCTGGGCAGGTACTTACCTTAGAAGTGAGCTCTTCAAGGTAAGGAAGATTTTTTTTATTATTCTATACTTGTATGGCACTAAATCAGTGGCTTACAAAATACTGTGACAGTGCAAACCAACCCACTAGCATTAGTGACTCCTGTGAAAAATGCAAGAAAACCACTTTTTATATGGGCTAGTCTAATTGACCAAGACTATTGTACAAAACAGGAATTTGTTTTTAATTTAATTTCATTGATGTTGCTTAAAAGTGCTCCTGCATTATGGTAGACCATAGTACTTAGCAAACATGTGCTGGAGGGAACCCACTCCCTTATCTTAGATCCCTATTTTAGTTTGCATTGAATTGCCTTTTTCTAGTGCTAACCTTTCATCTTAACTGTCTCTGTCCTCTGTGGCCAGCTTAGAATATATGCCTAGAGAATGTGAAGGAAACCTAAGTAAATTTTACCATTTTACAAATGTTAAGGGGAAAATAAAGTAGGAAAATAATAAAAAGTACATGTTGAATACCTAGTGCATGTATCTGTGCTGAAGAAGCTGGCTGCTTTTAAAGTTATGTCTGGTGTTCAAGAAAGTCCTGTCCAGGAATATGAAGACTAGTTGTAGCGTTATTGCTTGGTAAAATTACTATGAACAAATCCCAGTGCACCTCGGATACTAGCAATTTACTTTTGTCTGGGTCTTTTCCATTGTTCTCTCTGTCCTTCAAATCAAAATGTAAAAGTATTTTTACATTGTATCAGTCAGTGAAATTACTTAACCAGTAAGGCACCACAAATTTGGTATTATTAAAAACTAATAAGATTATTTCAGAAAGCCAGGTTACAAAGACATTTGAAAATTATTCTCCTAAACAGAAAATGTAAGCAAACTAAAAATGTAATTAAATACATAAAATAGCTTTTTAAGTACTTTGCTTTAGAGTAGGTATGAATACTAATAATGATCTGATATTTTTTCCCTGAAACGTAGTATTTTAAGTGCCTCAAGTAATTAATGTTATTTTTCTAAATCACTTAGAAAATAGTGTGATTTTTGGAAGAGATTTTTAAAAACTAATAAATAAGAGAGAGAACATTTCTATTCTAAACATCTATGTTAGATCCAGGGTTAAAAAGCTGCAGTTTGAAGAGGGAAGAAATGTCTCTGAGAGACATTAAAATCACCTGGAAAATAAACCAACTCCATTGTGGTTATGTTATGTTTTTAAAATAAGAATAATTTGGGCATTCCCAGTGTTCAGATTTCTCCAAAATACCATCCCAGAGAGCATAGCAAACTGCCTGCTACTTCTTTTAAACATGATTTTCAAGGGAGTTAGGCAATATCATTTTCAAAGATTCATCTTACCAGCAGTAAGAGATGGAGAATGTATAACATCTTTCTTTTGCTCAGGAGTGCCATCACACTGAATGCATGTACCCAGTAAGCCATCAGTTCATCACTGTATTATCAATCTGTAACTTTCTCCTAGAAGGTGGCTTGTTCTGGCAACATTTTTTAGACTTTTCAATTCATGCATTCCAAGCAACATAATTTTTTGCATAAGAGTAATGTTCCCCTTCTGCTCTGTACATTAAAAAAGGTGAAATCTTTGGTGGATTTTCTTTGTGCAGATATTTTTCTGTTTAGTTTTGAAGTTGCCATTTTTATGTACTGCCTGAGCACACATAAAACTGTAACAGTAGATAGGATATTACCTATTAAATTTTCTTTTTATCCACTTATCCCTGATAATCAGTCACGCCACTTGTAATTAAATAAAAAAAAAGGAAACCATTGATACAAGGCTACTTTTTTTGCAGGAAAGATATTTATGCTCTAAAATGCAGGCAAAGCATGACATTTGTATTTGTAGCTAATAAAGCATGAAACTAAGGACCTTTGAAATACAAACACTCAAACAAATTTAGAAATGTAGCTTGGTCTACCTCTAAACCTCTGAAAATCAACTTCCAGATGAGATGTTACGTGCCCTTTAATATCAAAATAGGCAAATAATAGATTAAAGACTGTTTAATCTTCCCAAATAGATTTTGAAAACATCCATTCAGACTTTTCCTCCTTATCAATGTTTTAGTAAATATCAAGTACAACATGTCTGTCTTGAGCATAGCATAAGACTGTGCTAAAAATAAAATGATTAGTAATAAACTAGGGAATTACTTCTCTCTAGTTATGTTATTCACAAGGCCTGGTGGATCTTACAACAAATAAACACTTTTATGCAGCCTGTAAATATTATTTTTATTTAAGAATAAAATAGCCATGAAAGTAACTTGAAGATGTAACCTTTTTAAAAAACAAACAAAAAACAGTTCTAAGGTCAGAGCTACATAATAGAAAGTTGCAAGAATAGAGCAGTTTTAGAACAAATAATGAATTATAAAACAAGGCATTTTAAAATTAGTTTTTCTTTTATTAATGAACAAAATCTTCCATCCAGTTTGGTTTTGGTTTTTGTTTTTTTTTTTGATTATCCAGGAATCTTTACTGTTGGTTTTCCTATATTTTTGATAGCTGGATTTTTTTTTAATCAGATTTTTAAATAATGAACAGCCCTTTAACCTTAACATGAATCAGTTGCTTCCCGAGTTGCAGTGCTGTCAAATCTAAATTGTAATACTGCTATTTAGTCTGTAACTGAGAATTTATTTGCAAAAATAAACAAGATACTAATCCTTCCATCATGCTATTTGTTAGGAACAGGTTGTTGTGCTGCAATAAAGGGATTAAGCAAGGTAGTTTTTGGTGAGGGTCGGGATCTTTCTCTTCTATACCTTGGCAATATTTTCTATTTCTGAAAGCAGACCACTTTTAAAGGTGGTTTTAATTGTTTTAATGAATAGGAATAAGGAGCAGTAACAGTAGCTGATGATAAAGATGCATTCTGGTGACAGTATCAGATACTCCTTTTAACTAGCAAGCTGACAAAAGGAAAAGGAAAAATGAGTGGGGGTAGAGGGAGTTGCTGTCCCTCCCATTTCATATTTACCTTCTGAAGTGCTGGGGTGATGGGTTATCACTAAATCTGTCACAGAGCGCTGAAGAGCACATAAAGTGGACAGCTGAGCAGCATATTTCATTTGTAAAAGGGTTCTGATTTTTAGTATGTATTTTATATTTGGAGCAATTATGGTAATATCCTGTTCATATATATTCACTGAACTCCTTTATGATATGGGGTGTAATACATGTGCATTATGCTAGTGCTCAGCTCACAAATGAGAAGCAGAAAGTTACATTTTTTGACAGGGTGGAAAGGCTTCATTGTGCTATTTTGCAAACCCTTTTATAAACTCTTTTTGATATTTCTGATTTAAGTTTCTGTTAATACACTGCAAATCTTTGTCATGCTCATAAAGTATAAATAGAAAAGTTAACATTCACCTTAATTCAAGCATGATAGCAGCCTAATGGAAAATTTTTACCAGACATTATTTATTTAATCAAGATGAGTAACTGGAATACATGGAAAATTATTTTTCACTATTAGTCTTAATGTGCTAAACGACAGGGAAAAAAACAAAACAAAACAAAACAAAAACACAAACCAAAACCTCGTTTTGAGATTGAGGAGTTTGCTAGCTTGTCCTCAGCAGCTCATTTCACTTGGTAGTGATGTTATTTCTCTTTCTTCGTTAATTTCAAATGTTACTTCAAACCTTCATGATTATAAAATTAAATGATGAGCTTGAGGGATCTTTTTGCAGCTCAGTGACCACACAGCAATTTTTTTTTGGTGATAGTTTGCTGCATTTTTTTTCTAAGAAGTATTAGTTTACAACTTGTAAGAGAGCACTACGTGGGGTTTTGTTCCCAGCAGTTGGCTTGTATCTCGTAGCTCAGGCTTGTGTAGCTTGCAGCTCAATCTGAACATGCCTATTTAGATTGATAAATGCCATGACTTTTTGTTCCAGTTAACACACATCTGCCATTCAGTACCAAAAGGACAAATGTCAGTCCATTTTATTATTTTTGTTTGACAACCCACTTCTGTTGTCTTACCTGTTTGTCTGTTGTTGACATATTTTTATATGTTACCAAAAGGGATTGTTTCTCTTCTTTTGTGTCTGATATTCCAGTGATGAAACTGTTGCCTGTAGTGGCATTACACTGGCAAAAGAACTGATGTCACTGTGTGCAGAAGCAGGGAGGGAAGAACAAGAATGATTAAATGGTTAGTGTTTATCCATTGGATAGTTGGAGAGATGGAACTCAGACTTCTTTCAAGTGCTTTTTTTTTTTTTCAGTGTAGAGCACAGAGATTTAATCAAGCAACTGTTTTTCATGACTAAGTCTTCACATGCTGTGCTGAAAACTTGCCATTAAATGTCTCTTTCTGATCTTGAAAGCCTCTTACATACACTTTTGAGGCACATCTATTCAAAGGTCATATTAATTGTTCAAAGCAATGTTTCAGCACTGGAATGTAAAATTGTAGAAAAAGAATAAAATTTTTATGCTAGAGTGTTTCAGATGTCATTTGAATAGTGGATAATACTGTTTAAGTTGTGTGTAGTGGAAAGCTTAGATGATAGGAAAGCCTGGATGAAAGGCATTTCACATTTGGAGCTGTTTCAGGTAGTTGATAAATATTTGCAAATGGAATAAATTTTATCAGTGGCTTACTGTCAACCCTGTAACTCTAAAATCAAGAGATGTTCTTGCTGCTTTGAAGTTCAGCGTAGGAGTCACCTTCCGCTTCAGTAAGTACAAATGTGGTAAAAGAGAAAGTTTGTAGAAATGTGTTTTCTTTAAACAAGTGCAAGTTAAACAGGAAAACTGTTGAGGAGTGAAATGTGGTGTGTTTATTGTTACATATTTATAATGTAATGAGGGCTTAAATACTAAATTACACAGTGTTGGAGAATGGCTCAGAGACAAGGGTCCTGAGCCCACCGAGCAATTGTACGATCAGAGCCTGTTCTAGGGGCTGATGCTGGGCCCCACCAGGGTTTGCCTGCAGCTGCTCACAGCTGCTGATACATGAAGAATGTCAGGGACGCTTCGGCCTTGTGTACTGTGGTGTGTCGAAAACAGGTTAAGGGGAATTGGGAATAGTGGTCTGAGAAACCCAGTGTTATGGTAATGGTGGTCTGAGAAACATTGTGTTATGGTACTGTTGTGTATCGAAAACAAGTCAAGAGGAATTAGAAATAGTAACATGAGAAACTGAGTGTTATGAGAAGCTTGTGCTGTTAGCTAGCTGCAAGTAGGTGGACCGTGCGAATACGACCTTTAGAGCTTAAGCCAATCAGCTAGTGACTAGTAGGCATAATAATTAGCGTTGTCTGTATAAATATATGTACCCGGACCAATAAAGTAGATTGATGCTCTATCACCCACATTGAACCCGTCTCTGCGTGTCATTCTTCCGCGGCTCCACAACAAAGTTGTTTTCACTTTGGCCAAACTTTAAAATATGTAGGTGCAAGCATATGTGTTTCCCTTGCACCTGTGAAACCCCTATGTTTGTGTAGAGAAAATCGGGAGCCTATAATAGTGTAATCCTTTAGTCATCTTTCCATATTAAGATGTTTATTTGCAGTGCAGTTTGGTTTTTTAACATTTAAAATATGGAACTTTGTACACAGCTGCTAATTAGGTTGGAGTTTTTTATTATTTGAGTTCACTAGAAACTTAGAATGTTTGTAAGTTTAAAAAAAAGCTATCCATTATATTGTTACTTGCTATTCTCTTAACTCCCGTTCTTCCCTCTTACATTGTCTTTTATTTTTATCTGTCTTAATTTTCCTCTTAACAATCCCTCTTATTTGTGACATCTTTTATGACTCTCATTTTTCCCATACTTCAGCCTAGAGCATTCTCCTAATTTGAGCTGGCTTGCCTTTTGAAATGGTTGCGTATTTGAGCTTTGATTGTGAGACGTCCTTTGCAAGTCTTTCATCTTGAAGTTCAGAGTCTTGCCCCATCTTCCATCCCGTCTGCCCCACATGCTCTGTCTGTCCACAGCCTCGGTTCCGCGGTGCTGTTCCGCCACCCTCCTGCATCTACCGCTTCAGCTCCGGGCTCCCCGCTCTGCTTGCTTCTCTGCAGCCAGCTCCCTGCTGCCTCTCAACACTGAACAGGCTCCATTCCTGCTTTTCATTGCTGAGCAGCAGAAGAAAAGGCAACCTGGCTAAGATGACTTCTTTGACAGAGTTCTACATTTTTCTAGTTTTGCTCTTTCCCTGGTCAGGCAGCTGCGGTCATTTCCACTTAACCTCTGTTCTTATATCTATCAGCGTTGATCTTACAGGGTTCTTATGTTCTGTGTTAACAAGGAAACTTCTTTGTGCATCAAACCTACACAAAACCCATGTTCCCTGGTTTTATGTACAGGTGAATATCACTTGTTATAAACATTACACAAATGGGTTTTGTACATAAATAAATATTTATATTTTCTCTGTGGTTTATATTATACAATCCTGAGTTAAATGATTAGGTTAAAACACTGTAAGAAAATACTAAGAATAGTTTCAGGAATTTGTATTTTATTTCATTTCTACAGGAAGTAACCACTTGCTCACCAGAATACTACAAATGGACGCAATATCTCTTTCTTAAGCTTTTTGAAGCTGGGATAGTATATCAAAAAGAGGTAGGTACAAATTTTGACATTTAGACTTTGCAGGTACACTAATTCAAGTCACTCGTGTCAGTGGCACATTTCTGGATCATCCATTTACATTCATTAATTGGATGGTGCTCTGTTGGTTTTAAATCACTGCAAAATAGAATGAGCTTTATATATAACTGAATTTTATATGTAGCTAACATGAGTGGGTATTGCAGCAAGTTAGGAAAGTTTATTGTCAGTCATTTACACTGAAGTACAGGATCAGAATATAGCTACTATTGGTTTATTTAATGGCTTTAATATAGAGTTTTTTAGCTCTTAACTTCCCTCTTGTGAAAACAAATAAGATAATGTGATCATTAGGAGTCTCTTCAGCCTTGAGACTACTTAACTGTAGATACTGTTTGAGAACTGATAGGATTGGATAGGATAATTGCAGATCATGTGCCTAACTATCTAATTCCTGGACACTATTTGTGATCTCTAAAATATTTCAGAAATATTAGATGCCATAAGACTGTCACAGCTGTTTATCTGTTAGCAGTACATTAATAAATTATTGACCTTAAAATATTTTGTAAATAACATAAATCAAGCTATCTGGAAATGAAAGGGTTCAGTTAACTTACTAAGCAGGAGGTGAAACAAAGAAGTTAAATGAGCTTTCCAAAGAACTTTCAGTATAGCTAAGGCAGTGTAGTTCCAAAATACCTGAACAGCTGCACCTAAACAAAGCTGCAATTTAGTGAATGTTTATAAATTAAGATGGAAACTAAAACTTCTTAAATATGCTTTGACATTTCATTTGCATCCTGTAGAAACCAGGAAACCTCATAGGATATAATTAGGGATGTACTCTAGTTATTCTCTGAAACCAGAGAAAGAGGTTGATGGTGAAAGGTAGCATTTGGAATGGCAGGGTGTTGCTGAGCTACTTCCATTTTCATAGTCAAGATGTATTCAGACATCTTAAATGATAACAAGCAAAAGGATTCAATATTTGATATGTCCTAACATGCTGGATTTGTGTTTTTTTTCTTTTTTTTTTTTCCTGTAATTGTTTTTTGTGTTTGTAATAAAATGTAACCCGTAGCTTTGCCACAACAAACTTACTTTTATCTGTAAATTTGCTTGTTTGATGAGTGATCTGAGAAGCACATGTCCTGCTGCTTTGTTAGAAGCAGTGATGATATACAACAAAAATTTTGCATGCAGGCTCCAAGTACTGTGGGATCCTGGAGCTGTTTGGGAACCAGTGATTGGATCTACTTCCCTCTTAAGAGTCAAGGATCAGTTTGAGGACTTAAATCAGCATCTTCCAACCTGTAGGGGATATAATCTCTGGTGGATATGAACCAGTTGCTTTTTGGCAGGAAACAGATAGGCAGAGATAGCCCATAACCCTGGGTCTCTTCAAACAGGCACACTGACAACATGTGATAAATATATGCTTTATCTGCAGTATAAATTAGGCAGTACTTTTGCACAGCTTGAAGTCTTCTGTATCGCGATTTCGTTTTGGGTACAAGGAGATAATTCATAGCCTTACTGTGGCAATAAGGATAATACATGTAGAGCGTTAGCCTAGTTAATGCTCTGTTCCAGAAGTATGTGTGCCTGGCCAGAAATTACCCTGGTAGGGAGACACAGACTCAGTTTGTCTGGGAGCTACTATTATTGAGAATTAACAATGTCTGTCTGGGTGCTGCAGCATCCATAGAGGACATCTTTATTCACTGCAGCAAAATCCTCTCTCTTCTTGCAGTACTGATCTAGACAGTATACTGGAGAGGTTATTGACCTGGCCAGATGTGGGTGTCTCATTGATGTTGAGATTAACAGCTGCCTAGACTCTGGTTTTTTATTAGATATCTGTAGGCTGTAGTGGAACCATAGACACCAAACCTGGAGATAAATACTTATGCTGTAGATACCCGAAGTTAGACAAGATGAATCCTATCTTAAAAGCATATGGTCTACATTGGCATAGTGAGGAGATCTAAATAATTGGTGTGCTCTATACACTTTTGCACTGTGCTCTCTTTGCGCTGATGACATTTAGCAGCATCCTGGGGCCATAGTTTCAGAGGCTGTCATTGTCAAGAAGTTGCCTGTGTGAGGTACAAGTAGGAACTATGGATTTAATTTAATATCCAGGCTCTGGATATTAGTTGAGCGGCTGTGAGAGATGGAAGAAGCAAAACGCAGCTTTAAAAATTCACAGACAAGACCTTTCAGCTACGGATTTCTTAAATGCATATTTTCTTTATGTTTTGCATGATTTATTTAGATAAATCTTCCTGTCATAAATCATGAGAATATGTTATGCTAAATAATTACACTTATATAAATAATTCCAGTTACCTTCTAAAATTTTCATCATAAATTTGATTCAATATCTTCAAAATAGAAACAGTATTCTTTTCTAAATTTTCAGTCATAGCCAGTTTAATACAAGCTTATGCTAATAATGTTTTATGCAACTGGCATTTTATTACTTCTTAATATTACCTGATTTATCTCTCTTTATGTGTTATTTTAACTTTGTAGTGGTGTGGAGTGTTTTTCAGAACTTTATAAATTAAAAAATCATTACTTTAGAGCCAACTTCATAATGTGTTGTATCATTACTGAAGAAGTTGTGTATTCTGAAAGTCTAGAAAATAGATCTGTAATAATGGAATATATTGATTGCTTTTAATTTCCCCAATGAATTTTCAGAAGCCTTTTATAAAAACTGGTGTGGTGTTATTGGTAGGTAACAGCTAAAAGGTAGACAAAATGTAAAAAGTTTAAATTCCAGTGACATCCTGAATTCAAACAAGTTTCATTTGAAGATGATGGGTTTTCTTTTATCAAAGAATGACTTTCATTCATTTCATTATAATAAATTTTGTATAAATCAATGTAGGTAATCAGACTGTGCACACCCCCCCCACACACACACACACACACACACACCAGGCACTGATAACAAAGCCAGCAACAGTATTCCTAAGGAAGAGGATCCATGCAACTGTCTTTTTGCTGTCCTCACTATAAGATTCGTAAAATGGTTGTGATATTTACTATTTCTCAAAATATGTAACATATTTTAAACTGAGCAATATCAGTTGTTTGGAAACTGGGGCATTTCAGGAGGTGATCAGTGATAGATAAAATGTAAAGTGAGTAATAATGACAGTGATTAGTTTTTAGATTGAAATACTAAGTCCTCCCCATACACAAAGAATGCATTTGAAATTTTCAAATAATGGTTAATCTTTTAGAATGCTATGGAGCTGGAGCTACTGTTTTTCAATCAGGCTGATTTAGCTTTGGTTTAGCTCAAATACTAAGTAACATTCAATATAATGGATTACTCTATCTCTTTGATATTTTTTTTTTCTTTCTGTTCAGTTTTTTTAAGTTAATGCCTAGTATTGAATACTACTTCTGAAATGACTGTTAGGATTCTTTTATAGTCTTAAATCCTTTATAATAAATGATCAGCTAAATTGTTCAACACTGTGGGGGGATGAGTTTGATTTTTGCTTCCTCCGCTGTATATTATGTGTGGTATTTCAGTTAGCCCTCAAAAAACAAGGTTTGTAGAGTTGAGCACCAACGTTTATTTTGCTTTAAATTTTTTTTAATGTTTTTGTATTGATAAGGAAAAATTATTCCAAAAGTAATGCATACAGTTGATAGAAGTTATGTGCAGAAAATATCAACTCTTTGATTGGAAATATATTTGACCACTTCTTTGTGATTCTGACTTCTCAGGTTGGAGCATCTCAGTTATTCATCCCCCTCAGGCTGACTGAGCACTTAGTGGTGGATAGTTTTTAAGCGTCAGACTGTGTAGTTTGCAGTATATCCAGTTGGAACACTTAGCTATTTAATATTTAAGTGTCAGTCTATCCTGCTATCATGATCAATCAGGGCAAATGCTGCCAACTGCATTCTTGGGCTTGTTGGGTTCTGAGAAGATGAATATTCAAAACATCTTCAGTTGAGTCCATGTCACTAATTCAAATGGATGCTATAAATACGTAGAAAACTCAGGGGCCAGTGAATGTTTCGGGATAATTCTTTTGGTGTCTGAAAAGCAAGGTTTTGGTATTGAAATAGCTGCTGAAAATATTTTTTCTTTCTGCAACTTTTTTTAGGCCTTGGTTAATTGGGATCCAGTGGACCAGACAGTTCTAGCTAACGAACAGGTGGATAACACTGGTTGCTCATGGCGTTCAGGAGCAAAAGTGGAACAGAAATACCTCAAACAGTGGTTTATCAAAACTACTGCTTATGCAAAGGTATGAGAACGGTTTTTTGAAATTATGGTAGCACTTAAAAAAGGCGACTTTTCTTCCAGAAATATTCATCAAGCTGAATGTAGTCTTTTATATATTCATGTTTGTGTAATATATAAGTATATACAATATATGTGAGCTATACCTGTGTATGTGTATATATAACAGTTATTATCCCTGAAGTCTTTTTGTTCACATCTTTAAGAATTCTAAGTAATTGGTGTGGGATTAAGTTTTGAAGAAATCAAAAAGCATAGATTAGAGGTGAATTAATGAATTCTGCATTCACACATTATCATCCCATATTCACCATCAAGTGCTTTTCTGCATATTTTGAGTGTACAGCCGTGCAGTCTTTTGAACTAGAAACTTGTTCACCTAGTCAAGCTGTCGGTCTTACAAGCATGGTCTAAGCAGTGGAGTACTGTGTGTCACCTAGCATTCATTTCCACATGTGTCTGAACCACAGTTCTTTATGTTTAACTGCTCTTTATTGAAGATCCATCTGGACCTTCTATTTTCCTTCATACTCTACTTGATTATCTGTAATTTTAAAGATATTTTCATCTTATTTAAATCTCCCTTTCTGTTATGAGCTCGAATTTTGATTGTGATGGGACAGCATAACTTCCACACCTAGGAATTCTTCAACAAAATTTTTGGGTTTATGCTCTCTGAGATGAAAGTATTTACTTCCTGTCATGTCTGGGTGAAGTTTTTATTCCATCCAAGTTTTCTGTGTATTGAGACTTCAGGTACAGATTGAGAAATTTATTGTCAAGAAAATATTAAAAATTCATCTTTGACCCTTTTCTTCAGACTCACATTCAAGAGACCAAATTTCCACCATCATCCTGGGAGAGGAAATCCAGGTCTCACTCTAGGTTCATTCATATAATAGAAATAGAAAAACTTTAGATATCTTGCTTGATGCTTTGATTCCTCATACACAGAGAAGGTACTTGAGATGCATGCTTTCTGGTTGTGTTGCCTGTTCTGGCAGTAAGGAGGGAACATTTGCTACAGCTGAAGGAAAAATGGAGCATATCTGCACAATCACAAAATTATCACAGTGTTCTGAGCTTTTTCTTGGTGCTCTTGTCACCAGATTTCATGATCACCTTTTTGATATTTCAGGGTCTGCCCCCAACTCACTGTTTCACTCAGTTTGAAGCTGGAGCTTCACTTTCACTTTCTACCTTTACTGATATATCTTTTGTCTATTGTTCTTATAAAGGTTATAGGAAAGAATGAGTGGTATGTCTGGTCTGTATCCATGCTTGCACCAAATCAGTGTTTACTTATCTCCCTCTAAAAGAGGTAAATCAGCCTTAAATTTTTACTCAGAAAGACCAAAAAACAAGACTGAGGAGCCTTTCAGTAACCTTGAAAACACCCTTGGCTTACAGGTTTATTACCTCTTCCTCAATATCCACCCTCTTCTGGGGAGGAAGATTTTTTTTTTTTTTTTTGTCTTTATTTTCTGACCTAAGAAATGTTGTTACAGGAAAGGCATCAGCTCTTGCAATGATCATGTCTCTCACATGTCATTTTCCAGTAAGTAGGCTCGGCTGATGACAAGAAGAAACTTGTGCCTCCACAACACCCTTCCAACATGAAGGGCAAAAATGCAAACAACTCCTTGTTCTTGAACAACTTAACGGCATCATGAATGAAAGCTGCTTCTACTTTTCATTTGGGGATGAACATTTACCTCAACTTCTACAAAACCTTTATGCATTACTACAGAGGACAGTTGAGTATTCCAGAGATCTATGTAAAGGTTTCTCAAAATTTTGTTCTGTGCATAACTGATATTCTGTAGGGTCTCTGCTAGCTGGTACAACGAGGTTGATGAACGATGCCATATTGCTCCCAGCTCAAGTACTTTGGCAAGCATTGCCTTCATGTGCTCCCACTTCTTGTACAGTGACAGATGCTACCAAGTATCAGCAGGTGGTTTGGATTTTCTTTTTACTCACCCTCTACTGACTCCCATTTTTGTTGCTGTGGTTCTGGCACATTTTAAACAGTCTCACTCTGCTTCTTTTGGCAAGGGCTTTGAACATTTGGTTGTAGAGGGGGGGAAAAAATTAGTTGGTTGTTTTGGTTTTTTTTTTTCCAAACTTAAAAATAAGAATAGGAGATTATCAGGCTCTGCTATTCTCAGTCAAATATCTGATATTAGATGGATTTCATGCTTTGAAAGATTAAGAGAAATAAATTCCCTTTTGGTATTTACTTTTTTCTTTCAAGTTAGAAGACGCCAGATAACACAGCATGTAGTGTCTTACTTTCTGAAGAGGACTGTTTTGGCCATACAGCTCTGAATGGCCCATGAACCACAAGCCCCAACTGAAGATTGTCCATTGGAAGGGGACTGTCTCTGAGCTAATAGTGGCCAAGTACTTCAATCTCTTAGAGACTCTGTGCCCACACTGACATAACCAGGAAGCTTCACCATAGCATTTTGACATAAGGCTAATTACAGATCTTAAATGATACAACCTTGCCTCCTCTTTCTGAATACTTTGACTAATTATCCTCAAAACTAAACTTTGCACACATTTATTCATTCCTTACAGTAGTTATTCCGCTACTTTTCAAGGAATGGTAAGAGACATGAGTCCTTCTTTCTAAATCTGTTTCTTTTGTACACTTTTTCTTTGGATTCAGACTGTTGACGGTTGCTCTGAATCCATATCATCCTAAATAGCATAGTGTTGAACACCATGGTTACAGCAGTCACTCTTCCTAGCCTCTTCCTCAAGCCTTCTTCCCCACATCTTTTCAAAAGCCTTTGCCAGGAGACTGGGCTTTATTGAGAGGGAGATGTTCATTTACCTTTATCATTTACAGAGCCTTTCATCTTGAAGTGGAGGGTCCAAATTTTACAGAGCTAGTCTTAATAGGTGTGGAGGATACAGACATGTCTTTGACTTTAAGAAGCTAAAGATCTTTAATCCCTAATACGAGTTTAGGATCATAACTTTAGTGGTGATAATACCTTCACTTCAGCATGGGGGATTATTTCATATCTCATGATCTTGAAGACACTCATTTCTATAACGAGATTTTCCTGGCTTATATCATGGAGCAGAACCATTACCCAGTACAACTTCCTTGTCTTGAACATCTTTGCTGTTCAGAGACTTCAGGTATTTGTGCTTCTAATGATAAATGAGTGCAACAAAGAAGTTCTTTATGGATCTCACTTCTCTTTTTCTTCAGTTGTTTGGGGCTTGCCATGTATAAGTGTATAGCACCTTCTCTGTAGTTATTTGCAGGCACCTGAAGGCTCCGAATGCTACAGCAGTAGAGTACGTTTTTACCCAAGCTGGGCTAAGATGGTGAAGGTTTCTTATGGTGCTCTGTATGACAGACTCCTCTAAACGGGAAATCTGAGAGGTCATTATAAAGATTACCTTCCATGGGACTGGGGATTTCAAATCCATGGTCAACCTTTTTTGCACTAGAAAAACAATAGAAATAGAAGTTCTTCTTCCAGAACTTGTCTGGCCCAGGGGCCTTTATTCCTCATTTCTGAGTCAATTGCCTGTTAAACATCTTTTGTCCAGTTCTGCTTCTTTTGAAGGTGTCCAGAAGGTTAAGGCAAGATGGTGCCAGATTAGCATGGTCAAAATCATTGTGATCTGAAGATCTGTGTTTTCTGTCAGACTGACTTTTAGATCTTTGAGCCATACTGCCAGAATTCGTATCAGAACTCACCTGGTTCTCTATGTCCTGTATCTCACAGCTTGGACAAGTTCATGGGCACAGAGCAGATTTAGTCCTCCCTCGTGCAAGATGTTCTTACTAGGTTTGTGAAAAGGTAGAGAGCTAATTGGTTCAGGCTTTCAGTGAATTGTATGGCTAGATTTCTGTTATCCACTGAAGCTTCACTACTTCTTATTTTTAAATTTAAAAATGGGAGGCACTAAGAGATTATGTGATAGCAATTTAATCCTTGCATCTTTTGGGAAAGATTTGTATTTTTTCCCGCTTTGACTACTTTTAGATTTAGAGGGTTAGTATTCTTTAAGTGTGTTCTACTTCTCCCACTCATCCTTCTCCAGTGAGGCCTTTGTCTGGTTTTGGTATCTCATGGAGAAAGCCATTTGATTCTGGTCACCTTTTTCTTGCACCTTCAACAGTGACTATTATTTCTTCTGAAGAATTTACAGAAATTCAAGGCCAAATATCAGAAAGCTCCACCTTCCTTGCCCTTCTTCTGCAACAAGGCTCTCTGCAAATCTGTTCCGTATTCCTTCCAGAAGTTATCCCTGAGTTTTCTTTAAGTTGACATAGTGGGAAAGCATGTTGAAAAAAGCTTTATTTCTGGTAAGTAACTCCTTTCCTGAGTGGCTTGGAGGAAAATGTAAATCTTTATTTCATAACCATGTTTCATAGACAGGGTTCCATTTAAAATACATTTAATGAATCTGCTATCCCTTAATTCTTCATGCAGATTACCAGCTAGTAGTAATGGCTGAATACGTACATATACAGCTTATTGCCTACTTGGAGCATCAACAAATTATTTTGTTGTAACTATTCAACCTATTTATACTGCATATTGATGATCTTTCTAGTCATCTGTGTTCCTCTCACCCATTTATCGTTTTGTTTTCTCCTGTATCTCACAACCTTAAAAGTAAATACTAGTAAGGGTAATCTTCATCTGCAATGCTTAAATTACTAGTCAAATAGCAGCAAGGAGCTGAATGGTCAGTAATGGGCTGTGAAGTTATCTCCTGTGTTATAGGAGTCAGTGTTTCATTTGTACACACCCTATTCTTTGGTGTTCTGTTGTGTCCCGAGCAATCATCTTCTGTGGATTTGCTTTGATTTCTTCATTGTTACTGCACCAGCTCGTAGTCCTTTCTTGAAATAAAAAATGCAAACAAATGAATCAGTGTTGGCTCACATGGCAATTTACCATTGGCAGTGAATTTTTTTCAAAGGGCAGAAGTATTGGCTATGCTTTAAACGCTTAGCAGAAA